AAACTATTTAAAACTTCATAGAGCCTTTATTTGTTTCTCTGTTAATAATCTCGTCTTCTTTGCTCCTGACAGAAAGACAAAATATTGTGCACAGCTTTACAGTAGATCAATAAATTAACACATAAATAAAGAACTAAATCAGTTAAAGCCATTTTGATCTGAGCAAGGCAAGGTACTCTGTTACTTCCCAATAATATCCATAACTTAGATGATTTGAGTTAGTCCTAAATCCAGTTAGTTGGTTATAATCATTTTAATCATAATACTTTCAAAATTTATACATTTGTCTTTGTTACTTGACAAAAAAGAACATTTGTTTCATTTGATACTGATCACTCAGATGTATATTAAATTTTAATTGTTTTTCATGTAAAAATCACTTTGTCTTTTGTGTATACAAGATCTTGTTATCTGTCTTATGTGCAAGGTATTTAATTCATTAAATCTTATATATACATGCAATAAAGTTGCTTCATTGGAAGTTAATAATTTTCTTTTATCGATTTCACATATAGAACAAGCAGTTCTAAAAATTAATCTGAATTATGCACTTTGGCATGATGCATTAACAGATCTGCTCTTCTCAGCTTTTCATGGGCATTTAGTATAATATTGTTGGTTTTGTTGTTCTTATCTATTTATATCTAATTGATAGATCGAAAAAATAGAACAGAAACAAACTTTTACTACTATTCTGGCACACATTATTTTTACAAATGGCCAAAATCCCATAAATCTTTAAGATTTTGGTGCTTCTTGTGTACTCTGCGAATGATTTCTTGGTATTATTTCAAGCTGTCCAAAATCTTTCCATCTTCTTCCCCTCTCTCTCTCTTTATTCTTTTTTTTTTCTTTTTAAATAAGGTTCCTTTGCTTACCACTATTGTTGACTTCTCAGACACTTAGTTTATTTTCAGTTAAATATAACAATTTGTTTCCAGAAACATTCCACTTGCTATCAAATGTTTAATGTTTTGTGAAGTTAGCAGCTGTAACACCTATAAATCTCTTGATAAAATTAAAATTTTTATTTAACTATTAATAGTTTACAGTTGTTTTACATTATGTTGATGACAGTCTATATACTTTTCTAATGGTTGTAAATTGCAGTTTTAATTTTTCTACCATTCATATATGTATATACACATTGTCAAATCTGACCTTAGCTAGTATATTAACAGCTTTGACCGACACAAACCAGTATTTTCATACTGTTGAGATGTATTTCAAGTATCTTTCGAAACAGGATTTTTTTACCCTAAGCCTAATAATACTTAATTTTGCATCATCCAAAGACATTTAAGGGTATGTTTTTGTGTGTGTGTGTGTATTGCAAGCATAATGCAAAATCATTGATTTCAAACCTCAGCTTGTGAATCAAAACTCTTTTTACATGGAATCCATGTTCTCATTGGCCCTTCCAAGGATCTTAAACAAATTAAAATGAACAATCACACTGCATTCTCCTGGGACATGTTCTAATATACTTAACTTAGTGGATGATCTGAAGTTGGCCTGTTCTTTTATTTATGTTAATTTATCCTTTTTGTAGAACCAATACAGCCTTGCTGACAACAAAGACGAATAAATTTATATACTGTCAACGATGACTGTAAAGTTGAAGTTTGATCTTTAAACTTAAAGAAAGAAAGTAGGAAACAATCAGGTTTAAATACCTTAATTGTACCTGTGGGTATGCCCTTTGGATAACCTGTTTCAACTGATTCTTAATAATTAAAGAATATTTACTCACCAATGTCAAACTGATAAAAAGAGGGTATTCAGACACATCAGTTTGATTTACTGTATAAAAACTTTGCTGTTTTAAATAAATATGAAGTATTCTGTCAATCATAAAACATGGAAACATTCTTGATTTTAATAATTATTTTATGATATTTGAGAAGGAAAGTGAAATAATACTTTAAGTTTTCTTAAGAACATTTGGAATAAAGCTTTCAAAATTAAAACATAAACCTGTGAATATTTTGTTATGGTAAATTTCACATTGAAATTCTGCAATATTGTTACTAATTAAGGTATCCAAAAAGGAAGTTTATAGTCTTGATAATATTCCACTGTAAACTTTATGCTGTTATTTCCACTGTTTAGATATTGAAGAAATTGGGAAACTTGATGAGAGTTCTTAAAGATGGTAAAGGTATCATCAACATACCTATGATAGTAAAGATGTTTAAATTATTGTGGGCAATGTTCCAACTATTGTTTATCATAAAAACAAAGAAACAAGTTAGCCAAAGGTTGCACAAGTGTTGAGCCCATGTCGACTTGATCATAAAGTTTTCCATTCAACAAAAAATGAGATTCATTAGTAACAGTTCATAATCAATGTGGTTCTGCAAAAATGCTATCATTAAGGCTTTAACATGTAATAGTAAATGTGAAATCAGTCATTTCATGAGATGTCTACTGTAAAATTTGTGTACACATTGATATGCTACAAGGTTTTATTTTACATATATATATATATATATATCTACGGTCATATATCCTTGGTGAAGCTTGTATATGCATGACATATTTTCCCATTGATAGTAAATTTTATGTGATCATTATCTAAACCAAAAATGTATGCCTTTTATTTCAAAAAATAATTTTGCCTGAACTAAAAATGTTTACAGTGGTTAATAATTCTCGGTGTATATAACTTTAGTGTTTCATAGACAAGTACAAAAGTATTGGAAAGAAGCTTTTACATAATACTTGTTGTTGGTATTGTAATAGCACACATACTGCCAGAAATTATGAGCAAGTTAATGTTTAGAGGATTTTATTTTCCTTACTATTTGATGTTTAGTTACAAATTAAACTTCAAATTGTGGATACCTGTTCTTCTTGGCTTTGAGAACAAAAACTTTTTTTTGAAGTGGGTTAGGAGAGAATTTAAAGAATGCTAAACCAGTAGTCTAGGAAATAGTTAAAACTTGATTATGAAATAATTTTCTTTCTTAGAATTTCTTTTTAGTTTGATTTACTGAAGGTACAGCTATAGTAAAGAAAATTTTGGAGTAATTGAAAATACGACAAATAACTGAACGCAAAAACTGAGCAAAAATATTTTGAAGCATCAGTCAAACTTTCTTCTGGTTTTTAATTTGATTGAATCTCTTGTACAGTGACCATAGCCACTCTCACATTCATCACCACATTCATCAGCATCATTACCACCATCCTCCACCACCACGGCTCCGCCACTTTGGCTTGTCACCAAGTCTACATTTTGAGCTTGCTCCTGGGATTGTAAGTATTTAGTTGAACCACTTCAATTTGATAGAATAGGTGTTTTATTTTAATATCAAAACAATTGATGAGATATTTTATGATAAAATTATTATTTTTCCATTTTAGGAATTTGAAATACAGGATATGTTTTATTTTGTGAATTTCATTGTTATTATAAAAACTTTAGAAAATCTCATTAGATGCAAAGGCTGTTACTTGTAATTCCTTGCAAAGAATAATATTTGAAAACACCATGCAATTTATTATATATATATTTGAAGTATTATTTAAGTGCCACATTAAGTATTTTAAATTTAGAACTAAACTCGAGTTTTTATTTTCAGCCTGTGAGTCGCCCACCTGAGTTATTTAGTATCCCAGCTTTGCAAGAGCTTCCGGCTACAATACATCTTTTTCCTCACTACCTACCCTTCTTGCCTCGTCACATGCAGGCTCGGCTGGAAGTAAGTAGAGTTTCAAAATGTAACATTCTTTTGATAATATGTGAGCTGTTTTAATCCACTTACTCCTATATCAACGACGAGTTGGAATTTTAAAGTTGAAAATTTCATAATTGAGAAATACCTGACATTTGTGACATGTATAATTAGCATCATAAAATAATTAAAATTCAGCTCATTTCCAAAGGGTTCAGTGTCACTTCTGTAATTCATCACACATAAGTAATATAATGCACTTGAAATTTAAATTTTGGGATTGAGTAGCCAATGTTATTTGAAGCATCATAATGTTCTTGCATTTTTATTTGAAGAAGTTATAATTTCTTGCTTACAAATGTAATGTAGATTTGTAATATAGTAGAATATTTTCTTTCTAATATAGACATTTTACTGATAAGAAAGACTTAAAAAGTTTTTCAAGAACATACATTTTTCCTTCAAATAGTTAACTTCAAATATAAAGATTTATTAAAAATGGTAATGTGACATAAGTTTTATGAAACTTGTTAAAATTGTTATAGTAAAAAAAAACATTTAATATACATACATATACGTAAGCACACATGTCATTACTTGTACCATGCCTCTATCAGCACTCTTCATGTGTCAATGTAAACTTCAATAAATTGTCCATCTTTGCAGTGGTATTAGATATTGCATCATGTAATATTCCCCCAAGAAATTATCTAAGTCTCTGTCACTATAGTATCTTTCAGCTGAGGCATAGTTGCTGGATTACAGCAATAGATCCACATCTTCAGAAAGCTATGTAACCAGCCGTCAGCAGGTGTTAGATCAGTGGAGTATGGTGGTCAAGCTTAACAGTAGTGATACTTAAGAACTTGGTCCATACAAAAGTCTTTAAGGTCAATGACTTTGCCAGGTGATGGTTATGGGGTAGGACACTAACCTCATGCTGGAAGAAGTTAAAACGGCAAAACAGCTTTTTGAGGTGGATATATCTGGGGAGAGTACAGGAGGAGGAGGTGTCCCCCAGCATTTTTGATATTATTGTTCTAGTTTATGTGCATTATACATCATTATAAAAAATTTTCATGGAATAAATAAATGCTGATTAAGCCATGACCTCAGTCAGTATGAAATATTTGCTGTGTTTTAATTTTTTGTCAGCCTTCTACAATACTTGTTTAAAATGATTTATAATACTAGGGCAGTGGCTGAGGAACCAGACCAGAAGCATGAAATGAAATGATTCCTTTGCATGGAATTACAATTAAAAATATTGTACAAACTAAATTACTGGATCTACTTTATCAGTGTTAGTTTAAACTTATTACCATGGGTAGCTTTTACTGCGCATGACACAAGGTTTTAGTGACTTACCTTAAAAATTTTATTAATCTACTTTTTGTTTGTTATACCAGTTTTGTTTGGTTACAAAGCTGTCAAATAGAAAATCAGCCATACCCACCTGTCACATCCTCTCTCTTTCAGGATTACTAATAGTTCTCTCCTGCATTTAATTCTATATTATCTATAACCAATAGAAAGCCAAGGTTTTCATCTATCAAATGATGTATTGTATAATGTTGTTTTCTGAATGAAGAATTGTCAATTTCACTGTTAGTACAAGCTTTGTTCCCATGGGAAAGATAGTGACTAGCTTAGATGAATTTGTAATGGCTACTTGTCACATAGTTAGAAAGCCAGAAAAATTTTGAGAGCTAAGGG